GTGTAAGAGACGCTGCAGGTGTAAGAGACGTTGCAGGTGTAAGAGACGCTGCAGGTGTAAGACTCTGCAAGTGTAAGAGACGCTGCAAGCGTAAGACTCTGCTGCAGGTGTAAGAGACGCTGCAGGTGTAAGAGATGCTGCAGGTGTAAGAGATGCTGCAGGTGTAAGAGATGCTGCAGGTGTAAGAGATGCTGCAGGTGTAAGAGACACTGTGTTCAGGTGCATTAAAGTTTAAATGTCTTTGAAATCCACAGCTGAATTTACACAAAGTTGGTGAGAAACAAGCTTTAAATGGAATTAAAGTAAGGAAATCTAGGTGAAATGTTGCTTTTTTTGTACACTAGTAAACACTTTTTTGCACACTGGTGCATACAAACTAGTGTCCCCCCACATTAAAGATGCTTCTGACGCCCCTGGCTGTGAGAGTATGGTTCACATCGCCAGTAGTAAGTCGGACCCCTTCAGGGTGGGATTTGGACTCCACCAGGGCTGCCTGTTGTCACTGATGCTGTTCATCACATTTATGGACAGAAGTTATCAGTGCAGCCAGGGGGTGAAGTGATTCTGGTTCGGTGGCCTCAGGATTCCGTCTCTGCTCTTTGCAGATAATGTGGTCCTGTTGGCGTCATTGTGCCGTGATCTCCTGCTCTCACCAGAGTGGTTTGCAGCCATTTGTGAAGTGGATGGGATGAGAATCAGCACCTCCAACTCTGAGACCACGGTCCTCAGTCGGAAAAGGGTGGGTTACTCTCCAGGTCGAGGGTGAGGTTCTGCGTCAAGTGGAGGTGTTCAAGTATCTCAAGTGTCTCGGGGTTTTGTTCACGAGTGAGGGAAGAATGAAGCGTGAGACCGGCAGACAGATTGGTGCAGAGCAGTATTGCAGACTCTGTGCTGGTCCGTTGTGGTGAAGAGGGAGCTGAGCTGTAAGGCAAAGCTCTCTGTTTACTGGTCAGTCTACGTTCTTACCCTCACCTATGGTCATGAACTTTGAGTAGTGACCGAAAGAACGAGATCGTGGATACAGGCGGTTGAACTGAGTTTCCTCTGCAGGGTAGCTGGACTCTCCCTTAGAGACAGGGTGAGAAGTTCAGTTTTCTGGGAGAGACTCGGAGTAGAGCCGCTGCTCCTCCACATCAAGAGGAGCCAGTTAAGGTGGTTTGGTCATCTGGTAAGGATGTTCTCTGGGCGCCTCCCTAGGGAGGTGCTTCGGGCATGTTCGACAGGGAGGAGACCCGGGGAAGACCCAGGACACACTGGAGAGACGTCTCTCAGTTGGCCTGGGAATGCCTCAAGGTCCTCCCAGAAGAGCTGGAAGAGGAGGCTGAGGAAAGAAATGTCTGGGCCTCCCTGCTCAAGCTGCTGCCCCAAGAGCTGACTTCGGAACAAGTGGAAGATAATGGATGGATGGATGGATGGAGGGATGGATGGATGGATGGATGGCTTCATAAATATTCACACATTTATACAAAACTTAAAAAGTGGACTAATCAGAGGAAATACCTGTAGCTGTAATGTCACATGGGACATGGACATAAATTTAATTTAATTTATATTTTTGGTTTGTTTTTGCCACAACCTTTTTTGTGTTTTACCACTCGTTTTTGTTTTTCATCTTTAAGTCACCATATAATGTTTGTTTGTGTCCTGTGCGTCTTTGATGACAAATGTGAAGTCACTTCAGACACAAGTAATTAAATTTATTATCTGGCTTATGAAAAGTGATGGATGCATTATTTCTTATTAAAGAACTGGGAAAGATGAAAATATTACTGATACATCTGGACTTCAGATAGAAAATAATATTTATCTGAGCAACAGATGGCAGCAAAGTGAACACAATGAAGCTGTTTTGCATTCTTGTGTTTGCTTCTGTTCACTGAGTCTCACCAGACCCTCGTACCTTCTTAAAGAGCACCACTGAGCTGCTCTTCACCTCGTACTTCTGGAAAACTTCAGGAGCTGCTGTCATTGCAAACTCCATGTCAGTCAAATCAAAAGCAACTTCCTTCAGCAGCTTGGCTTCCTCACTTTCCAAACTCTAAAAAAGCAAGAATATTAAAACTCGAAGCACTGATATCACTGAATATAACTTAAATGTTTGTCAAATGTTAACAGAAGAGAAAAACTCACGTCAAAAAACCCAATGACTGAGATGTTATGGGCACTGATGAACTGCTCTGCAGAGGCTACAGAGTCCAGATGTGCAGCTCCCGGACCACTGCGACGCTTCAGCCACTGGATTATTCCATCTGCTGATCTCTTACCTGGAAGACAGACAGCTCAGATACTTCCTCAAAATAAACAAATATTAAGTCAAAGTGAGGTGAGCACATGAAGATGTTAGAGGGTGATAGGTTTGCATCACTTAAAGGGATACTTCAGGTCTTTTAAAGTGGGGTTAAGGGAAAAAATGTGAACAGATAATATATTACCTGTTGTAGATAGCTCTGTATACAACCTCAGTTTGGAAAAATAAAGTTTAATTCTGACCAGATCGATGAGCTACAGGCTCATCTGAGTGGACCAAGAATAACGTGGGTAGCTGCTGTCTTGAAATCAATAAACAACCAGTCTCTACATTTTATATTCCTTCCATCCATCATCCATCATCCTCTTATTCCCAAGTTGGGTCGAGGGTGCAGCAGCTTGAGCAGGGAGGCCCACACATCTCTTTCCACAGCCGCCTCTTCCAGCTGGGAGGACTGGGAGGACTCCAAGGCGTTCCCAGGCCAACCGAGAGACATAATCTTAAAGTTCATGCTCAGTAATCCAGGAAAAAAATCCAACACAGTTCAGTCAGGTCATTTGGATGGTTTCTTTCTTTAAAAAAAAAAAAAACGTTTCATCTCTCATCCAAAGGACTTCATCAGTTCGAGGAGCAACAACAAACTGAGTTCCACAAGCAGCACACTCACATAGTGGACCAACCAGTTTGATGGTGATAAGATGAAACGTCTTTGAAAACATCTCAACCAAAAAAGAAGAAGCCGACCCGATGACCTGACTGAACTTTGTTGGATTTTTCACCTGGATTATTGAGCATGAACTTTGATGTTTTTAACCACTATGGCTGCCTCAGAGGAGATGACAGAGGCGAGGGCGGGCCCCAGAAACTATCCTATCCCCAGCAAACTGGTTGGTCCACATTGCGAGTGTGCTGCATGTGGGACGCAGATTGTTTGTGGCTCCTCGGACTGATGAAGTCCTTTGGATGAAGGACAAAATGTCTCAAAAAAAAAAAAAAAGAAGAAACCGTCTAGATGACCTGGCTGAACTTTGTTGGATTTCAGATAACAGAGAGTGATTATAAATATGTGCTCTCACCTGTGAAGTCAACGGGTTTCTCGCGGTCTCCATCGATGAACAGCTTCAGAGTAGGAAAGCTGGAAACTTCAAACTCTTCAGAGAGCTCCTTCTCCTCTGAGGCGTCCACTTTGGCCAAACGCATCGCCTGCTCGTCTTTCTTCAGCTTCTCAGCAGCCTCGGCGTAAACGGGCTCCAGTTTCTGGCAGTGGCCACACCAAGGAGCATCTGCACAATAAATAAAAACACATAAGTACTTGGTGTTTCTGCACCATGTCAGTGAAGTTTGGAGCTGCCGCAGCAGGCCCTGCTCTGTCACTATCAGTAACTGTGCATGGAAATCAGCTGCTGATAGCAGCAGTGCATGCATCTGTGGGAAAGTTAGTCTTGGACAACATCTGGATCCGATGGGACAACGTGTGTGAACATTTGACAAAAACTTTTGATAGAAAATGCAAGTGGAGATCTTTAAAAATAAATAAATAAAAGTCATAACTCAGTCAAGGTCAGATATATCTAAATCTTTTGGCAGCAAAATATCCCAGTCCTCTTCAGATAAATTACTTTTTTTTTTCCCCACTTCAAAGTATGAATATTGAACATGTTGAATTAAATGTTAATGCTCATTTATGTCTTTATGTTATTTTATAATTAAATGACAATCTCACAGACTGACAGCTGTGGAGATTTATTTGAACAGTCACGATGCGTCTTTATCTACGGGCGTAACATCATAATCTTATTCCTCTGGTTGTCTCTGTGGCATAAACAGAAGCGATTACATTTCTGAACTGACTTCATCTTCACACTTTCATAAAAAGCTCCTTTCTCTGGGTCCTTGAGGCCGAACCACTGACGATCACCAGCTTGGGACATTTTTTAAACGCAAACTTTTTCACTGATAAGTTCCTGTTTGTTGTACTGAATAAAAAAATAATTATAAAAGATGAGATGTTTGATTCAAAATGCTAATTTCTTAACGTTTTAGTAATACTTACAGAATTCAACCAGGAGATATTTGTTCTCGCTCAGAGCTCGGTCGAAGTTGTTGATGTGGAGAACCATGACATCGTTCTCTTCCTCTATGTCTGTTGTTTTTTCCTTCTTTGGCTCCTCTTTGGTTTCATCCGTCTCGCCTTCTGTTGTCTCCTGCAACACGTCCTCCGGTGTCTCCGTGTGTTTGTCCGTGCTGTCCTCAAACTCATCAGCCTGGACGCAGGAGGCCCACAGCAGCAAACCCAGCAGACTTAAAGACAAAAGCAACCTGTAGCTCCTCATGTCGGTGTTTCTGTGTGCGCTGCTCTACCACCTCTGCTCAGGTGTGAGGAGGAAAAAACCTTCAGTCTTGTGAGTCACTGAAAGTTTGAACGATTATTTATCTAAGATGTGGAGCGTGTGTCAAAATGTTACTGGCTTTCTCTCTCGTCCAATCAGACGTGATGCTGGCAGGGGACATCTTTTGGTCTGCATAAGCCAATCGCTTGATGCCATGTAAATAAATGTGCTGTGGTTGCCTCACAACTTAACCACAAATAGTTTGTTCCTGTTTGTTCAGTTTGTAGGTTTGAAATCGATCCCTTTGTCACACTGGTAATATGTAAACACGTGAATGTACCACGTTTCTTTCTGGGTTTATTTTTATTTTTATCAAAGCCTCATTTCCATAAAAACAGTCCCATTGATAACAAGTGGATTGTGAGCGCATTTAAACTGCTGGAAGCGCAACCTTGAGCAGCTGAGCCAAACATGAGAAACGTGCACCAGAAATGCTCTTAATCAAAGCAAAAGAAAATTCCCATTTAGTGATAGTGTTCCTTGAAGGAATGCATATCATTTGCTGCACCACACACCAAATGTTTGGACAAATATATGATGCAGTTTGTTGCCACTCAGCAGATGTGTTGCGGATGACTTTCAGCTTCTACACAAACTGTTAGCTCAGTGTATGTAAAAACTAAATGCATATGAATGTACCATAAAAATAGGTTCACAAAACAAATACCGGGCTCTAATATTCTTAAAGTGTTTAACTTTTTTAAAAAGTTATTTCAACATAGTGAGACTTTAAAGCCTCTTTTGAGGAACTGGTTCAACTTAGCTGAAACTAAAAGTTTGAGTCTCTTTGACCTCATTTTAATGCATAATTAATCAGTGATGTAATGTTACTTCTTGAAAAGGTTACAAAAAATATAATTCAACTCTTTAAACCTTTTACTTGCTGAAGATTTTTTTCCTTTAGTTGCTCGTTATAGATTTTGCAGCGGACCCTTTGTTGTATACTGTGTCGCTAAAGCAGGCTGAGGCATTTGGTTCACCTGAATCCACACGAGTCCTGTTCTCTGCGCATCACTGCTTTCAAAGGATGAAGCGTTCACGTCAACTCTGTACAATTCATAAGGAGCTGTGAAAAGTTAGGTGTTTGGCAGGCAGGTGAGTATTAGTATAGTAAATTGCTTTTGTTTGCAGACTTATCATTCCTGTTTTTTCAAGTTTTTGTAAAGAACTCCAATGTGTTGTTGTGGATTTAGAAAAAGCGTATGACAGAGTGCCGAGGGATGAACTGTGGTATTGCATGAGGAAATCTGGAGTGGCAGAGAAGTATGTTAGACTGGTACAGGACATGTATGAGGACAGCAGGACAGTGGTGAGATGTGCTGCAGGAGTGACAGATGCTTCAAGGTGGAGGTGGGAGTGCATCAAGGATCAGCTCTGAGCCCCTTCTCGTTTGCTCTGGTGATGGACCGACTAACAGATGAGGTCAGGCAGGAATCCCTGAGGACAATGGTGTTTGCAGATGACTGTGATCTGTAGTGAGAACAGGGAACAGGTGGAAGAGAACTTGGAGAGGTGGAGGTATGAACTTGAAAGAAGAGAAATGAAAGTCAGCTGTAGTAAGACAAAGTACATGTGTGTGAATGAGAGGGAGGCCGGTGGAACAGTGAGGCTACAAGGAGCAGAGGTCACAAAGGTGCAGGACTTAAAGGACTATGGATGTGAAAGAGAGAGTCCAGGCAGGATGGAGTGGATGGAGAAAAGTTTCAGGAGTGATTTGTGACAAAAAGGTGTTGGCAAAGGTCAAAGGAAAAGTTTACAAGACAGTGGTGAGACCAGCTATGTTGTATGGTCTGGAGACAGAGACATGGACAAAAAGACATGAGAAAGAACTGGAAGTGGCAGAAATGAAGATGTTGAGGTTCTCCTTAGGAGTGACAAGGATGGATAAGATTAGAAATGAGATTATCAGAGGTACAGCACAGGTTGAACAACTGGGAGATAAAGTTAGAGAGACCAGACTGAGATGGTTTGGACATGTCCAGAGGAGGGACAGTGGGTATATTGGTAGAAGGATGTTAGAAATGCAGCTGCCATGAAAAAGACAAAGAGGAGATATATGGATGCAGTTAGAGAGGACATGGAGGTAGATGGAGTGAGGACAGAGTGAGGTGGAGGAGGATGACTTGATGTGGCGACACCTGAAGAGGGAACAGCCGAAAGAAGAAGTTATTCTAAAAATAAATTAACATTTGTCAGATTCTGCACTTAGCATGGCAGTTTTTTGTGTGTTAAACTCTGTAAAGCAACAAGTTTAAAAGCTGCTGTATGAGTCCAGATCAGATCATCTACATTCTGCTGTTTGCAACATGTTTATAATTAATAACAGGCTGCAAAGCCCTAAAGTGACTGTATCTGTCATTCAGAGTGAGATAAGTAAAGTTTTATAAAACTTTTGAGTTTTATTAAATAACATTTGAGCATCATGACAAGATCATAAATCTGGTTATACGAAAAGTAGACACTTTTTTTGTGTGGCGGCTGTGGCTGAGTGGTTAGAGCAGTCGTCCTCCAATGCAAGAGCTGGGGGTTTGAATCCACCAGCAGTCGCATGTTGAAGTGTCCCTGGGCAAGACACTGAACCCCTCACTGCCTCTGATGTGTGTCCCATCGGTGTATGAATGTGATAAAGCTCTGATTAGTCTCTTTAGAATGATTTGTTCAATTATCTTTAGAGATGAGATCTAGTAGAGTGTAAGAATGGGTAAATGAGGCACAGATTGTCGTGTAAAGCTCTTTTAGTGTCTTGATAAGATAGAAAGGTGTTATATAAGTACAGTCCATTTACCATTTCCCCCCAGAAGTGCAATTTCTCGCTATATATGATTTCATTTGAAGCATAAAAATAATAAAATGTTGACCACCACGCAAATACTTTTTTAAAATATAAATTTACAGAATGTGGTTGTACTCGGTTTGTGAAAACAGTCAAAATAATGACTACTTTTTTATTTGAGTTTGAAAAAGTAGACTTTTTAAGTGAAAAGTGTGTAAAGGTCCTACTTTAAAACAAATTAATATGAACAAAGAATACTTCAAAACATCTTTTTCTGTTTTTTTAATTTTTTTATCAAAACAGAAAGATGAAAGTGATGTTACCAAAGAGTGTATTTTTTTCTGTTTCTCAAATAAATTCACATCACTAGAAAGAAATTTACTTGATCAAAGTACATTGGTTCAAGATTTTACGTGTTTTTCTCTTGTGTGGAAAGGTGCTCTTCATAAGAAAACACATCGATTTGTTCCTCGTTTCCTCCTTATTGAACATTTTGTATTTCAGGACATGGATGGAGTCTCTCAGCTTGTGTTCAGTGCTGCATGTGTGTGTCCTCCGTCAGTGTGTGCGTGAACTCCATGTGTGGATCCCAGTATGCCAACAGGTCACTGAAGTCCGGCTCCGTGCAGCCGAGGGGGTTGTGGTGTGCGTGTCTGTGTTCCTGAGCATGCATGTTGCTATGTGCGATGCTAGGTGTGTTGCTGGGACTATCCAGATCGCAGCGTGGGACCGGCTCCGTCCAGAAGCTGAGCGGAAGATGCCTCTTGACCATCGGTTGGCCTCGACCCTGACTCGAGCCCTTGTGGTTAAACAGGTCAGCCAGGGGCCCGAGACCACCGTTGTCCTTAGCAACAGCGACTCCTGGCTCATCAACGTAAGTCACAGCTCGGTCTCCACGCTCCCCAGGACTTCCTGCTCTTGCAATTCTCAGCAAATCGTCGTAGTATCGCAGGCGGCCGCTGGTCGTCGTTGACACCGAGCCACTGTAGATGTCACAACTCTCCCTGTCGTCGGAGCAGCAGCCAAAATATCTCTGGATGTCCCGGCTGATGAGGTCGGCAAACGTTAGCAGCTGATTGGTCACATCTAGAGCACTGTGGTTGGAAAGGAGCTGATCAAAACTTTCTTCTTCGTCCTCCTGAGCCTCGCATTCCTCATCCTCATCTTCATCCTCCTCTTCTCTTTCTCCATCTTCTCTGTCTTCCAGCTTCTCCGCTTCATCTTCTCTGGATGAGGAGTTTGGGAAGAGCATGGGCATGTAAGCTAGATTCAGATTCGGGCCCTGGAGGAGGAAGTTCTTGAGGATGCCTGAAGTCATGTTGGTTAAAAACTCTAAAGAAGAGGGAAGTTAAGACGCTATCAAGACAGGCGGTTGCTGGCAGGAAGAATACAACAGTCAAGTCAAAGAGTTTTCTTACCTGGATTCAGCTGCCTGGACGGGGTCCCAGATGGACCCAGGTTTTTATGTGTCCGTGTGTAACAGTAGTCCAGTTTCAGCGTTTATATACCTGAGCACGCGTTTGTCGTGTCAGATGAGGCAGCTTCCTAAATCAAATATTTGCTTGCCGAATTGCTCAAACACACTGTTTATTTTATCACTGGGCAACTGGGGAGGGGGAGGCCCGGGCCTAATGGATCCTCTGCTAAGTGATGGTGAAGAGTTGTTACACACACGCTACACACACATCATCGCTTTTCCCTCCCCATCTCTGTTATCAGGATGGTTAAAGGATAAAAGAGCGTGAAATCGAATCACATGCTGTTTTGACTTCTAAAGCGGGAGGACACTCTGGAGCGTCATCAGTCCTGACACGATCACACAGGCTTCCTAAAACATCATGCATTGAATTTTATTCTAACACACAATTCTCAACTAACATGTTTCGTGTCTCATGCTCAGGACTGTTATACTTTTAAACCTGCAGCTTCTGACAAACTTACCAATTTGGTATGACGGTAGCCCAAAACGTACTTCAATAGCCTCAACACGAGGGATTTTAATGAAACTCTCAGTAAATATTTATTGGCTGTACTTCTACAACTGATTAAATTTTGGAGTCAGCCCAATTCAAGATGGCTGACACTGCTAATTGACCTTGGCTTGCACAGAAACGACATCTCAATTAACTTTATAGATACCGACTCAAAATTGAGTGTGGCTGCAGCTGAACGTCATTTTCAAAACATACTAAGCACTAACAGATGTTGCAACATCATACAAGAATTCTCATATTTTAAAATTTGACTAAACTACATATATTTCTGTCAAACTTTAACACAAGACAATCTTTTTATAAAACTCTAGCATGAAACGAGGTGGATGATGGGAATGCTAGACTTACCGTATTTTCCGCCGTACACGTCGCTCCGCCCTATAAATCGCATCAGTCCAAATATGTCTAATAAAGTGGAAAAATCCATAAACATGTCGCTTCGCCGTATACATCGCATCTATTATGTGTCACCGCTGACATGTTGCGTTATTTACGCGTCACCGCTGATGCGTTGTGTTTGTTACGTGTCACCGCTGACAACCCGGAAATGTGGGGCGGTGTTGTGCCAAAAATAGATGTTCTGCCAAATGGCGGTAGCTGCAGCATACACAGGAGGACTTTAACAAGAATTTAACAAGATCAACACCTAAAAACAATTGTTTGTTTGCTTGAAATAACAGTAAATGTGTGTCTCAGTCTAACTTTTGCTTAATAAAAGGACTTTAATAGTCGAATCAGCTGTATTTCAAACGAATTCGCTGCCTCTGTGTTCCGGGAGCGTGCAGAGGGATGAAAAAAATGGAAGGAGGAACGTTGCTCGTTTCTTCGAAATTTAACAAGAAAAGCACCTAAATACAATTATTTGTTTGTTCGAAATTATAGCAAAGGTGTATCTCAGTTGAACTTTTACTTAATAAATGCACTTCAATGGTCAAATTAGCTGCATTTCGCCGGGGCGGTGCAGCTGGTTTGACAATTGCTCCAAGCAGCGAGCAGAATGAAGGTGGCAGGATATGGCAATCCGATTGTGTCATTAATAGCTGGTGAAAATTCTCAGTCATCCAGGACATGGTAAATTAAAAGAAGTTCAAGACAAAAACAGTAAAGTATAATAAATAAAGTCCAGTTGTTTTTGTCTTGAACTTTTTTTGAATTTGTCATTATAGCCACTTTGACCTATTACATGATACAACGGCATGCCTTACTGCTTCTACTACTCTGCTTCCATCTAGTGGCTGAAAATGGTAGTGTTCAATATTTTCAGGAGGAATTAATGAAAACGGTCATATCTAAATAAATAAATGATTACTTTTATTTTATTTTGAAAACTGGCATGCCTTCTTAGAGAAACTCGACAGCAGTCATTTGTCTGGGATCGTTTTCATT